AGGAGAACAATTTCAATGGATTCCATATAATTGTTTTCGGGATATTTAATATTTATCAAAAGGTGGATTTAGTGTTGTGTACAAAGCTAAATGGAAACACATTGAAGTCGTTCTCAAAAGCCTTTATAACTCTAATAATATGAACGTCGATTTCTTAAAAGAGGCAAATAGAAGCAACAAGAACATGAACATGACGTTACTGAATGTATTTTCCTTATTTATTATATTTCTTATAGGCAGATCCTCATAAGAAATTCAAAAATTATAATGTTGAAACTACAATTCATTGATCAAACACTAAAATTAATACTGGTCAAACTTTTATAATGGCAGTACTTTATATCACACGAAAAATTTATATAGAATTTAATTTACGTAAACTATATAAATATAAAAAACTATGAAATATCTATTACACAATACTGTAGCTCTGTTTGATAAAGTAAATAGCCAATCGTAGCAGCATAATTATAACCATTTCCAAGGATGTAACGGATGTGTTAAGAGTGATATTTACATGACTATAAAAAAAGTATTGGAATATCAAATAATAACACAAAATAATCAAAGCCCGCAATCAAAATATGACAATTACACAACAGTTGGCGTAAGGGCGAAAAACATCAAAGATATTATTCATAAATACCTGTTATACCACATATCAAAATAAAATAAGATCAGTATAACAAACATATACTGTATTTGAAATTATTATATAGTAAACTCCAGACAGATGTTACACATTAACCTAGTTTAGGATTTGATTTATAGAAAATTTCATTGATGATAGACTCGTGATTGTTCTAAGATACTATTTTCCGTTATACAACACTATTTTGATTATTCATTTAATATTTTATTCTATAAAATGAAAAATTTTCGGACCATTTGTAAACTGCCGAAATTTTTGGTCAGTTAAAAATGTTATTGCATTGACGATAGTCATGCAAGGGGTATTATCGCGAGGATGACCCATGACCTTTGATTTTGTGTAACCAAGTTA